ATCAAATATCACAATGCTTTTATCCATGATATTACAGAGGCTGGGTGAAGATGCTTTTACCTGCTCACTGTCCATGCCCTTCTCCATGTAGTAGATTTTGTAGTTTTGGATCTCGCCATTGCCTGTGAGGGGCATGTCCCAGCTGAGACTCACTGTGCTGGGGGACGTAACCACTGCCTGTAAGTTTGGAGCAGGACCAGGTACCTGGACTATTAAATAGGAAGAAAATAAAATCAGAAATGTTATGTTTTGTCTTTTTTTGTTTTATTACTGGCACCTTTTTTGTCTATCACTGTTTTCGAATAGAGGAAATGAAATCTCTCGAATAGAGAGAGATATCTCTTCTTGGCTGAGCATATGACAGTGGCATGGCAGAAAACAGACTAACACACGCCAGCTCAAACTGCAAGACTGACGTTATTTAATTTCCTTAGCAGAGCGGAGAGAATGGAAATGAGATTCTATGTTGCTTAACTTTTGTTTACTTGCTAGGGTCATGAATCATTACATTCGATTATAGGCTCCGATGAGTGTCCGTTAAATCTGTTGTTTTTCTAACATGCTCACAACTGACATGCCTTCAGGGAGTCATCATGTAGGGCCAAACTGAGCTCTACATTAAATGAAATATAGTATAATGTAAATAGCATGGACATAAAACAACTGGCCAATTTGTAAATAAGTTAGCATGTAGTCGTTTAGCAGACACTTTTATCCAAAGCGACCCACAATACACTTATTACAGGAACAATCCCACTGGAGAATCCTGGTGTTGAAAGAGTAGTTCACCAAAAATTGATTCTTTCATAATTTACTACCTGTGTGGCTTTATTTCTTCCATGTAACCCAAAAGAAGAAATTATGAATAATGTTCATGCAGCTCGTTTTCATTAAACAAAAGCATAGTGACCACCACTGTGAAAAAAGCACACTTTGGCATTATTTTAAAACAAGTATGCATTACAGAAATAATATACTTGGAATAGAAAATGCTTAATTGTGAACCGAACTGCATGTTAATTGCAATTACATGAAAATGTATTATAGTTTAAATTCATATTACCATAAATGCAATTAGCTGAACTTTAGAGAGCTTTTTGTACATCTTCATATGCAATTTCATAATTACTTATACTGTCTTCGAAATAGGGGCAGTAATGTGTACTGCCAAAATTACTGACAAGCATTTATGATAAATTAAAATATACTTTAATGCTATTTCTAGTGAAACTTGTATTTGATGCATTTAAATATATTTGTAATTACAGATTTGTTACAATTTAGTACACATTTAAAACATATCATCTTTAAACAGTAATACTGAATAACACACTACTGTTCAAATCATAATCAAATACTTTACATGTACTTTTGTATGTTAGTCAACACATCAAAATATGTGTACTTCTTTAAAGCACAACAAAAGATTATAAAAAGATAATGATTAAAAATGTACTTTAAAGTAGAACTTTTAATTTGACATTATTACAAAGTGCACTTTTTTAAAAATGTACTTTAGTGTGAAAGTATATTCTCTTTAAGTACACATAAGAGGCCTTTTATTTTTTATTAATATTATATTATCTGCAAGTGCAAGATAATGATTAAAAATGTACTTTAAAGTAGAACTTTTAATTTGACATTATTACAAAGTGCACTTTTTAAAAATGTACTTTAGTGTGAAAGTATATTCTCTTTAAGTACACATAAGAGGCCTTTTGTTTTTATTAATATTATATTATCTGCAAGTGCACGCTTTTTAAAAATATATTTTTAAGATTTGAAATACACTACAAGTGCACATTCAATACAATTAAGCACAACTTTTTTCAAAAATGCAGGGACTGTCAAGACCCCAAAAATTACAAAATGCCATCAAAAAATTGTTTTATATAAGAAACAGGCTAAAACATAGGTCATTATTTGCTAAAAATCACCATAAAGTGACCATATGGCTTGAAATATAACCTACAAATAGTACGAACTTCCTTTTTGGTGCTTTTATGTCCTTTCTGGAACATGACAGTCTCTGGTCACTATGCTTTCATTGTATGGGGAAGAGCAGCATGAATGCTCCTCAAAACCTCTCCTTTTGGGTTCCACAGGGGCTTGAACCAGCAACAAACAACCAGCAAGTTCTAGCCACTTCGCCACATGTTTGCAACAACTGTTTAAATACATTTATCCAGTTTTGGTTACCCTGAACCACCTTTCATGCTCGAGCTCTAAAATAAACTGCATTTGGTGTCTTATATGAATCACTTTTCAAACTCTGCTCACGCATCTCTGGCATCTCAAACGACAGAGAGAAATCACTTTATCTCAGTTCCACAGACATTCATTCTGTCCAACATCAACGCTTGCTTTTGATACTGATGTCTTACAGGATGGGAAGGATTAAGTCCTACACTAGATTAAGTACGCTCTATGAATGTGTATGTGTGTGCGTATAGTAGATGACTTGGGTTCAGATTCATTCATAATGTTCATAGCAATATGTGTGTCAGCCTCAGAGGCCGATCCCTAGCAGCAGGATTCCAGGGAGTGCCAAAATCCTGCTGACACACATTATAAAGTGCTTATAGCAGTCAGAACCAAGGACGCACAGAGGAGCAAGTCTGACCCAGAAACCGCTTCTCCTGTGCTGTGTCTGGGCTGATAATGTTTCATGTTGATGGAGTCTGGCCATATACCTTCAGCGATGTTCAAGAGGTGTAGTATTTGCTTAAAAGCCAGCAGATGTTTACTTGTGCTTACCTATATAATGAGATTTTAAACTGACATGGTGGCATTGGGGAGGTTTTGGGAAAGAAAACCTCCAGAGAAAATGTTCAGCGTAATCTCATAGGCCCAAAACATATTCTTAAAAAGCATGTGAGACACTAGCTACGCAAGCTTGATTTCATGCATTATAGCCATTAGAGCTTAATTCGTAATGCAACTGTGTTAAGTCAGTAAACATCAGATTTTAATTAGTCCATAAATCTCATTTAAACACATTCTGATTGAAAAAGTATGTTAACAGGAAGTGGAGATCTTACCTTCAGGCTGGATGGCGACCCTCAGAGGCGCTGAGCTCTCTCCAGGGCCGTTTCTGTTGTGGGCCACCACGCGGAAGGAGTACTTGGTGTCTGGCATGAGGTTCTGAATGGTGACTTGCATTTCTCCTGGACGGCTTGTGCTCACTATCCTCTCCCTATACAGCATCAGAGAAACAAACGTGATATGAGACTGAAACAGGAGCTGACTGCTGATTCGTTGGTTCAAAGCTTCTCTTATTTTTCTGTAGCCAATAACAGCTCATACAGAATGGCATTATAAATATTAATAAGAACAACATGTGACTTAAAATAATAGCAACAAAAACAACAGAATACAATCATCAATAGCATGCCTAATTAAAGGCTTCTTGGAGGGTGAACGTCATGAAAACATGTCTGGATTACATTTTACTACAGTCAAAATTAAATTTATTATATTTTTATTACATAATTATGTAAGTACTATATATATTTCATTTTATATAAAATATTGTATTTATTTATATGCCTAAAACGTAAGCCAATTTTGTGCAATTCATTTTTTATTTTGCATTATTGATATTTTTATTGCAATCACAAAAATCTTATTACTTAGCATAATGCATCTGTATTTTTACCTCATGTTTTTTTTTGTAATTGTCATTATACTCAGTAGTGATTCTCATTAGATTCCCTTTACTGTAATGCAATATTTTTTAAAGTAATTTTTTAAATAGTAACATAAATACTAATACATTTATTTACTTAAATATGCATTACAACAAGTAATTTACGAGTTAAATGTGAAATAATATATTCCAGTAATGTCAGTTACATTATTAGATTTTTTTTTTCTCCAGGTAGTGAGATGGAGGAATGGGGGATAATGTAAAACATTCTACATTTCATTTTTTTGATATTAGGATTAAACGGATATTCTTTACAGATTTTGTAAGATGCACCAAAAAATATAAATAAATAAATAAATTGCAGGTACAATACCATTCAAACTACGTCCTTTTTTATGTTTTTGAAAGACGTCTCTTATGCTCACCAAGGTTGCATTTACAGTATTTGATAAAAAATACAGTAAAGGCACTAATATTGTGAAATATCATTACAATTTAAAATAGTTTTCTATTTTAATATATATATATATATATTTTTTAAATTATTTATTCCTGTGCTGGCAAAGCAGCTGTTACTCCAGTCTTCAGTGTCACATGATCCTTCAGAAAACATTCTGATTTGGTGCTCAAGAAATATTATTATCAATATTAAAAATAATTGTGCTGAGGATTCATTGATGAGTAGAAAGTGCAAAAGAACAGCATTTATTTGAAATCTAAATCTTTTGCAACGATGTTTACTATAATTTTGTATTAATTTAATACATCATTGTTGAATAAAATTGGTTAAAAAAATCTTTCTGACCCCAAACTTTGGAAGAGTACTGTATGTGTGTGTGTGTATGTATGACACATATATAAATGCCCTGCCTGTTATTGCCATCAAGGCTGTAGTAGACTGAGTAGGTGACGTCATCTCCATGCGGTTCAGCAGGAAGGCGCCAGGTCAGCTTGATGAAGCGGGTGGAGACCAGGGAGGCCACAATGTCACGGGGGGCGGAGGGTGTGGGACCAGCGCTGCCTGTGGAGCCTGGCATTAGACGGTCAGTAGTGGCACGGGTCAGTGAGGTGAGAGGGGGGGAGGGGATGGTTACATCTTTGAGTGCAGACAGTGGGGTGGCGTGAGTGGAGGGGGTGAGTGAAAGCAGAAATAAAGGGTGGAGACGGATGTTTAGTGAAATCACACAGAGAAGGAGGGAAGGAGAGCATAACAAAAGAGAACAGAACAGAGGGAACACATAAAAGGAAAAAACAAAACAAAAACCATAACACAATGGCGTCCATGACAGGAAATCAACAAAACAGTGAAATAATCACAAAGAAACATGAAAAATGCAATCATAATGGAAGAATGTAGGGCATGTAGTTAGAAAACAAACGGCTGAAGTGGAAAAAATGATGGAAAGCTGAATTGCAGGAGGCATATTTTTGAATTTTTCACTCTTAAAAGAGTAGTTCACCTCAAAATGACATAAAAAAATTCACAATGTTACTCACTAAAACTATTGTACTACAGTATAGTTACCAAACTGCATTTGCAGAACCCAAATGCACTTGGTTTCATAAACGTGCCCAGGTTTCATAACTATGCACTGTACACATGCACAAATGAGATTTCAGCATCAATGACATCAAAAACCTTACATGGCGCTGCAGCATATTTGATTGTAGGGAAGAGAAAGATTTTCTGTCAATGTCATATGGGTTTGGATGTAGGTGAGTGAATGAATAAAAAGATTTCTTTTTGTGTAAACTAAACAACTAAAAATCCAAGCTGATCCAAAGAAGAATGAGGCACGGAGGCCATCCATTTTAATCACCAACATACAATCTAAAGGTCCAAGGCTCTACGATCTTTAAGATAGATGCACAATATTTCATGCTGAGGCCTCTGTGGTTAAATCTAGGAACGTCTGACTGTTGTTTTCTAGCAGTGGAGTGAAACTTGACACAAAGCAGCTCTAAAAATGTGTCAAGATCATTTGCTTTTGTGGACTGCAATAAAGTTGCGCTTTTGGCAACAGCAACTCTTTGAATTAAACAAACTGTTTCATTTGCATCTGCCAAAAGAAGCAGCTGTGGAAGGACTGAACATCAAGCGAACATTATATGTATGATTGATGTCCCGTTTCATTCAAAAATGATTCGCTGACTGTGGATGACAATATTGTGAGTAGGTAAAGAAACGACTAAAACAAGTAAAAATCAGGTCCTTTTTTTCTCTATGCTAACCAGACTGAAACACAATCAGCATGCAGCACCAGAGAAAATATCTAATCTCATTTCCATCAAAAAATCATGTCAAAACGATCAATAAAACTTCAAAAGTTTCTCATGATTCAAAAGGCAGAGAATTTCTGATAATATCTCTCTCTCTCTCTCTCAAAAAAAGGACAATATTGTGGACTTGTACAGGAAATAAAACTCACAAATGAAAACAATAAAACCAAAAAATGGGGAGTGAACAGAGACTAAAAACAAATGGATTGCAAGAAACCCAAATATGGAAACGAAAACCAGAAATTTTGATATGAAATCAAACAAAGAGCAAATTGTCTGAGCTGTGTTTATACACATTGATTTTAAAGCTAATAGTCTCATTTGTTTCTTGTATGTACCCTAAGGAATTTTAGGAGAAACATAACATAAAATATATATCCAATAAGTCTCCTGAGTTATGAAAGAGAACAATACAGTTTCCCTCTGCTTGTTAACTGAGGGTTTAAAAGTACCATATAATGCTGAAGAAGGAAAAAAGAACAGCAAGATGCATTATGTTATATATATATATATATTATTCTGAACTGCATTCAGCTCTGAACAGTCAGTGGGAGAAGATACTGATAATGTAGACCTGTATAATATGCACTAATAGCGGCACTCATTAGCTTATAGCTTCCCCTAAACGACAAGATCCATTAGAAGGAGAGCAAATTAAACATTAGTTGTAGCAATTACAGTTTTCCACAAAGACGAGCCATCAATGCTCATCTGTCTAGCCGCAGGGAGAATTTTTTTTTATCATTCAGCATTTACCTCTGGTTCAGCTTTGTGTGGTTAACACAATGGCGTCCATGACAGGAAATCAACAAAACAGTGAAATAATCACAAAGAAACATGAAAAATGCAATCATAATGGAAGAATGTAGGGCATGTAGTTAGAAAACAAACGGCTGAAGTGGAAAAAATGATGGAAAGCTGAATTGCAGGAGGCATATTTTTGAATTTTTCACTCTTAAAAGAGTAGTTCACCTCAAAATGACATAAAAAAATTCACAATGTTACTCACTAAAACTATTGTACTACAGTATAGTTACCAAACTGCATTTGCAGAACCCAAATGCACTTGGTTTCATAAACGTGCCCAGGTTTCATAACTATGCACTGTACACATGCACAAATGAGATTTCAGCATCAATGACATCAAAAACCTTACATGGCGCTGCAGCATATTTGATTGTAGGGAAGAGAAAGATTTTCTGTCAATGTCATATGGGTTTGGATGTAGGTGAGTGAATGAATAAAAAGATTTCTTTTTGTGTAAACTAAACAACTAAAAATCCAAGCTGATCCAAAGAAGAATGAGGCACGGAGGCCATCCATTTTAATCACCAACATACAATCTAAAGGTCCAAGGCTCTACGATCTTTAAGATAGATGCACAATATTTCATGCTGAGGCCTCTGTGGTTAAATCTAGGAACGTCTGACTGTTGTTTTCTAGCAGTGGAGTGAAACTTGACACAAAGCAGCTCTAAAAATGTGTCAAGATCATTTGCTTTTGTGGACTGCAATAAAGTTGCGCTTTTGGCAACAGCAACTCTTTGAATTAAACAAACTGTTTCATTTGCATCTGCCAAAAGAAGCAGCTGTGGAAGGACTGAACATCAAGCGAACATTATATGTATGATTGATGTCCCGTTTCATTCAAAAATGATTCGCTGACTGTGGATGACAATATTGTGAGTAGGTAAAGAAACGACTAAAACAAGTAAAAATCAGGTCCTTTTTTTCTCTATGCTAACCAGACTGAAACACAATCAGCATGCAGCACCAGAGAAAATATCTAATCTCATTTCCATCATGTCATCATGTCAAAACGATCAATAAAACTTCAAAAGTTTCTCATGATTCAAAAGGCAGAGAATTTCTGATAATATCTCTCTCTCTCTCTCTCAAAAAAAGGACAATATTGTGGACTTGTACAGGAAATAAAACTCACAAATGAAAACAATAAAACCAAAAAATGGGGAGTGAACAGAGACTAAAAACAAATGGATTGCAAGAAACCCAAATATGGAAACGAAAACCAGAAATTTTGATATGAAATCAAACAAAGAGCAAATTGTCTGAGCTGTGTTTATACACATTGATTTTAAAGCTAATAGTCTCATTTGTTTCTTGTATGTACCCTAAGGAATTTTAGGAGAAACATAACATAAAATATATATCCAATAAGTCTCCTGAGTTATGAAAGAGAACAATACAGTTTCCCTCTGCTTGTTAACTGAGGGTTTAAAAGTACCATATAATGCTGAAGAAGGAAAAAAGAACAGCAAGAGGCATTATGTTATATATATATATATTATTCTGAACTGCATTCAGCTCTGAACAGTCAGTGGGAGAAGATACTGATAATGTAGACCTGTATAATATGCACTAATAGCGGCACTCATTAGCTTATAGCTTCCCCTAAACGACAAGATCCATTAGAAGGAGAGCAAATTAAACATTAGTTGTAGCAATTACAGTTTTCCACAAAGACGAGCCATCAATGCTCATCTGTCTAGCCGCAGGGAGAATTTTTTTTTATCATTCAGCATTTACCTCTGGTTCAGCTTTGTGTGGTGCGTGACATTCTCTCTGTAGTTTCTCCTTCTGGTTCACTTGGCAGCCATTTTGCTAAAATAAGGGGGCAGCTGTTTTCTAGTCATAAGTACAGTTTTTATGAACTTGATTATGGAAAAAATGGAAAAACTTGCATTCATAAACATGCCAAATCATAAATAAGATCAACAGCATCATAAAAGTAGCTCAAATTATGCTCCAGCTAATCTGCATTTGTATTCTAGACCAGGTGATGGCTGTTTTAGGAGTATTTTGTTTACATGCTGTCATTCAGAATTCATTAATTCCCGAAACCTTCTTAATGTTATGTCGTTCGTAAGTTATACCTTAAGTTGTACCTTTACGTTAATACATGTTTCCCCGAAACGTTCTTTGTTAAGTATACCTTCTGTAAGTCATTCGTTCGTAAGGTTAGTCTGGACCACTCTTAGCTATACCTTATCACTTTTGACAGTTCACATTTCTTTACGTCTCATTCTATACAAATATAATAGTTGTGCAAAATCAAAGATGATGCCGTCCGCGGAGCCATATAGTGTATATGTGCACTAAAACTTTAGAATTTTTGATTATTTTTTATTTATTTATTTTTTATTAGTACTGCCGGCACAGCAGCAAATGCAGCAGCTTTTAGATCTTGACTTGTTGGTCCGATTTTGTCAAGACAAATTCAGCTGCTGGCGGCTCTTTCTCTCTTTTTCTCCACAATAGTAGTGTCGCGAATTCGGTCCATGGACTTCTGTTTATTCACCACCAGAGGTCACCCTTTCCATTACATTGACTCTCACACAACACAAACTGTTGCATAGCACCCCGGACTACATATCCCATCATTCATTGCACGGTTTGCACACTGCACTGATTGCACTCATTGCACACAGCTGTTTCTTATCACCTCCCTCACTATATAACACCCACTCAAACCACCATTCTCTGCGGAGTATTGTTTAGCCCGTACCCCATTCTGAGTCTCTGTGTTTTGCCTTGTCTTGCCTGTTTTCGCGGTTTCTGATCTTTGCCTGTTTTCCTGGATTTTTCCCTCTCGTCTCGCCCCTGTGATTCTGTCTGCCAATCGGTGACCTACGCTAGCCCTGGGACTATTCTTGTGTTTTGCCCGCCATATACCTGTTTGCCATTGTTTGACCCTGCCTGTTTACCACGTCTCTTTAATAAAGACTGCAGA